AGCTTCCTAAATCAGCATTTCACTGGAGGATATTTTTAGCAGTAAATTCAAAATTTACCATATTTTCTAGAAAATAGCTTCATGTTTATGGCAATCTGTAAAATGAATATACCAGTATCTCTGCATGTACATTGCAGATTATGATTAAGAAATAGGGAAGACGTTAATGTTAGGGCCTCTTAACATAAAACAGAGCACTTTCACATGTTCAGTCCATTTAATAGGTGAGGCTGGAAGGCCTCAGAAGGATCCCGATTTCTCTCTCATCCTTCTCAGAAGCGATTTGTGGGTGCTGAGATGTAGCTCCTGGGAGCCTGCCTGCCTACCTGCTCAACATACCGGTGGTCCTGGGTTCCATCCCCGCAGAAGTGATTCACAGAAATCTGAATTCCTCAAGACAGGTCATAAAATCACAAGGCCTCTCCCCCAAAGCAAGCTTCAAAACCTAGAAAAAGTCTCTGCTTTCTCTTTCTTCTTAAAGTAGCCTCATAACAGTGATCCTGCCTCACATGCAGAAGAAAGGAATACTAACCGGAGGCCAGGGAAAATTCGAACACACAGGGCTTGCTAGGATTGCCCTGTGTGACCACCAGATCAGACTCCTTTGTCCATTCGTCTTCTGCCTAGCTGTCCATTCCTTATAGAACCCAAACGTAAACAGTTTTTTCTGGGTCTTTGGGTCTTCATTTCTCAAGAATGGTGTGTCATGTAAAACTTTGTTTTCAACTGTTAATTCATCTTTGTCATTGCTGAGAGCTTCATCTTTATTTACAGTGTCTTTACAAGGCATTTAATTTTTTCCCAAAGACAACGAGAGAGAGAGAGAGAGAGAGAGAGAGAGAGAGAGAGAGAGAGAGAGAGAGAGAGAGAGAGAGAGAATATGAATGAGAATGAATGATTATGGGACTGAACCCAAAAATGGAAGACAAGAGAAGAATGGAGGTTAAAAAAAATAAGAATGGAGGTTAAACTTTGTATGTTTGTCGGAAACTTAAACTAAAAAAAACCTACTCCCTCACATGGTATAAGTTATTTCTAGAAGTTTTGGCATCTCCACTATAATTAAGTTTTGTAACAGGAAGAATGATGCAGAAACACTCATGCTTCTGCATATATTTAAATGAAATCAGGTAAAAGCTTTGGAGAAACATACAAGTAAAATTAGTGGGTCTACTTGAAAGCATGAAATAAAAATTTAAAAGTCATGTATTTACATCCTTTAAAGATGTAATCATCTTTATTATTTTCACTGACAAAGTAGATCCCTTTAATTTGAAAATTAATTTAGAAAAAGAAAGTAATTTGGGAATTATCCAGTGAACCTTTGCATCTAAAGAGACCAGATCAAATTAATGTGTGTCATGATTCATCGCGGTGTAGCTTATCATCAGGAATTCAATCAAGTTTCATTGACATTTTCATTGTATCAGAAGCAAAAGGATTAAAACATTGAAAAAAAGATTAAGATATTTGTGGATTTCATTGTGTTAAAAGTAATTTCTTATTCCAAGGGTTATATATAAGAGAAGCACCATCTTTCAGAATTATAAGCTTTAGTGCCATTTTTAACGTTAAATAAACTTAAAATTTATATTTATATTTATATTTATCTAAATAAAAAGGAAATCTATGGATATTTTGTACTTTTCTAGTGTTTTAGCATTCATGAACAAGAACTCTTAAGGGTATTCTCTGATGAAAATGAAGAGTTTTATGATATTTTCTTTTTGAAAAGTGATTCCAAGAACACAGAGACTCAGGCATGTTTGCAGACTGCCTTATCTGTTTATCAAGGTTATTTGGAAATCCGTAAACTCCAGTTCACTTCTGCTTGCGTGGAAGATTGCATAAGGGGGTTAATTTAGAAAACAAGAACAATATAAAATGAAAGTGAGAATATTCTTGGGTTCAGCCAAAGTCAACAGCTCCTCAAACGGAGTTCATTCTGGCGGCATAAGTGTCACATGATTAATGCCTTTAGTATCAATTGATTTTCTGCAGTTTTTCAGTGAGAAATTTATATTTCAGCATGTTCAGTTTACTATTGCTAAATTTTATTGGCTCCTCTTTCACATTCTTGAGATATTAGTCTTTTTTTTTTTTTTTTTTTTTTTGGTCTTTTCCGTTTTTATCGGTACCAGGGATCGAACTCACGACTGCCTGCTTGCAAGGCAGGCGCTTTAGCCGCTGAGCTAAATCCTCAGCCCGAGATATGAGTCTTAGTAAGTGATGAGGATTTCCATTCTAAAATAAAACACTAAAATCTAAACATATTATGTACAATTTATGAAACATTATAAATAGGTATTATACAGACTAGCACTGCACAACCTATATAAATATATAAACACAAAATGTCTAATGAAAATCATATTACAGGCAATCAGTGTTGTGTGGCGTGTAGTTTGTGCGCTCTGCGTCTAGTCTGTTTCTTTCCTTTTCCTCTTCACTGGACACAGTCCTTTGTTCTCTGCCCCTTTTTCTTGCTTTGTCGTTTTTCTGCTTTCTCCCTTTTTATCTAACTTCTGTGCCTACTGCACCCACTTCCCTCTGTCTCCCAACAGGACCCTTTGCCCCATCTTCCTCTTCTAGGTTTCAAACTTCTTGCGTTCTCCTGTGCCCGCTATCTGTCTCTTTGATAGTGTAACTGTGAAGTTTTATTGGTCTTAGTCAACTCTGTAAAATTATTCTCGAATTCCTTCCGACACTATCAGAGACACAGCTAATGCATTCATCAGCTGCGGGTGAATTCCTGGGTGGTGCTGGTGCGTGCACTGCACTGTGGATGTTTCCTTAGGGTATACACAGTGTAGAAGTGGCTGTTACAGCACGTCGGTGCCCAGCTTGTCTCAGCAGACACTCCTGTAGCTGATCCGCCTGATACTACCAGGTCCGCAGAACTGTTGCTGACAATGGGCTGCCTCTTGGGCCCACACCAGACTTCATGTGTGACATTAGTGGTACTACGGTACGTTTTCAGGTAACTCAGTGCCGGGCCAATTACCTGCAGCCTCTTTTCCATATTCACCCTGGCATAGAGGCGAAGGACTACAGTTGGCCAGACTCAAAATACACCACTTAAACTAAAGACACCTCTAAGTGTTCACAAACCTCGGCACAACAGACACACACAAGCAGACAAGCACAATGGGACACAAGGAGATAAGGCGGCAAAAAGCTCAATCAAAAAAGCTGCAGCTGAAACGATCAAGAAGTAGAAAAGGTCACTAAACACAGGAAAAAGTTCAGCACTGCTAACTGTTCCAGAAATGCAAATTAAAAGACACTTGTTACACCTCACTCCAGAAACAATGGCAATATTGAACAAATGACATCATAACAAATGCTGGAAAGGCTAAGGGAAAAAAAGAAACTTCAGTGTTAGTGGGAGTGCAAAGAGGTTCAACCACTACATAAATTGGTACAGTGATTCCTTAACAAACTAAAAATGGTGGTGCACGCCTGTAATCCAGCATTTGGGAGGCTGAGGCAGGAGGATTGCCATGACTTTTGAGACCAGTTTGAGCTACATGGAGAGAGCCTGTCTCAACAAAACAAAACAAATTCCATTTGAGCTATTTCCCTTTTATGTATATTCTCAGAATAAAAGACATAATAGTGTTATATGTATACCCATGTTTACGGCAGCACAATTCATAAAAGCTCAATTTTGGAAACAGCCTGATGTCCACCAACAGACAAGTGGATAAAGAAAATGTGGTATTACACGGAATGGAACACTATTCTGCCAAAAACAAGGGTAAACCTGGAAATTTGCAGGGAAACGACAAGGACAAGACAGTGTAGAGCGAAGTAAACCAGACACACAGGCTTAACCACCACATGGTTTTTCTTCTATGCGAACCTCATATATACATAAAGTGCAAAATTTAAGTTAGACAACAGGAAAAAGTGAGATGGATTTTTGGCATACAGGATGGGAATAGAGAGATGCAGAGAGAGGAGGAGGGAAGGGTGGGAATGGAGATTTGGGAGGCGACTGGGAATTGTTATGTACATGCACCAAGTCCCGGAGAGACAGGGGATCACTGTGTACTACAGTCACATCAAAAAAATCACATTTACGGTGCACATGCACGAGCAAGAAGGGGTGCAAGAGACGCAGGGAGGGGAGAAGGGGGCAGGGAAAAAAGAACGGAGAAGTGTCACGTCCACCTAGCAACTCGCTCCGAAACATGTAGCTTTATATACCACAAACATGTACCACTAAAGTAATTAAAAAGCAGTACAGTGAAAGGAATGTGAGTGGTACGCAAACAGCACGGTACACAAAGGCTACAACCACACGGCTCATACCGGAAAGTCAAGGTACAAATAATTTGAAGAGAAAACACATTTTGTGGAGATGGGAAGAATGGTAAAAAGGGCCGAGATGTGGCTGGCCTCTGCAGGTGCCAACCTCTCACCGTCAATGTGTTTATTATGTGTGGCAACGTACTCTCAGGAAAGGACAGGAAGAGAATGGCAAGAACGAGGGGAACTCTTCAAAGGGGAGCGGGATTAACAGCAACCCGTCTTTAATTTTAATGGAATTATTTTTATTTACAAAAAAGGGCATGGAATAAAAAGGGATTGCAGTACTCATTTTGATACTGTTCCATTTCTAGGGGTAAAGTGAAAAGCCTCCCCAACTAGAGGCTGTTTCTCACACCACTATCATGAGTATAAACTGCAGGAAGCAAGAGACAGGAAGGAATTTCATGATGAAAAGGCGGCAGCTGCCTCACCCCTCCACCCGCCTGGCCCTCTTCCGATGCCACCTAAATGACATACATGTTAACCAAGGCCTAGCTAAGAGAAAAGCCTGCCTTACCGGTCGGTCGGGTCCGTGTGATGTGCTTAATGTGGTCTGCCTGCCCAGCCCTGCCACACCCCCAGTGGTGCGTCAAGAGAAACTGAATGACAGAAAACGTTACTCACGTTTAGAACAATCGATTATCCACTCTAGTAAAACTATAAATCAGACACTTGCAAAAACATTTTCAGTATCAGTGAAAACATACTTTATTGGTGACCAGACACTTCAAAGTTTTGATTACACACATCATGCAAAACAATTTCCTTCACGTTTGTCTAACTGCTCAGTTTTATGACCTTTTTGAGATAATTATGAATTTTACAGTAACTTCAGTAGTAAAAATCATTCAAGAAAATGACTTTCAATGATGCAAACACTATGCAACACATAGGAACATACTGTTCATCTTTCTGGAAGCTTAACTCTTATTTACATTAGTAAATAAATCTAAATTTTGGAAGACCGCTATATACAAAAAATGGCAGTGGTTTTCGTGTATGCCTCCATAGGTACTCACTGAACTGATAAAAAGAAACAAGAAAATAATTTAAAAAGTTAATTTTCCAAGTAACTTTTTCCTGTTTTGTTAACCCAAAACAGGGCAATGCCCTTGTATTTACAGATGCTCATTTTTGTGAGCACAGCGGTACACACCTATAATCCCAGATACCTGGGAAGACTGAGGCAAGAGGATTGCTTAATCCCAGTCGTCTGAGTCCTGTCTGACAACACAGCAAGACCCTGTGCTGGAGGGGAAAAGACATTCACCTCCTCCAGCAAGTCATTTCCACAGGATAACAGTTTGTTCTATTTAAATGGTACTTTATTCTGCTAATCTTTGTGAACTGGGCTGTTATTACCCAATTTCTCTTTAGTAAACAGAAAGCAGCAGGCTTCCTATTGTCCAGGAAGACTTAGGAAGACTCTTCTATATGGCACTGAGGAAAACTCTCCGCGGGAGGGAGACCCACACTTTGGCCCGTGGCAGCTGCGATAGCACCCTGGTGTTCAGACAGCTAGAAAGAGTGTGAAGCTGAGTAACCAGTACCCAGGAACAGGGTCCGCTCAGGTCACCGGGCAGTGAGCAGCAGGGGAGGCTCTTCTAGGTGTCGGACGGTGGGTGTTGGTTACAAGTGTCCAAAAGGCAAAGTGGTTTTCGGATTGAGGGGTGGCAGAGGCTGAACAATTTTGAGGAGCACGATCGAACCCAGAGTCCCTTAAACAGATCGTTAGTAAAAATTAAGTTAGTGCTAGGGAGGGCATGAGGAAGTGGGGAGGCCGGCAGAGAACACCTAAACCTGCAGGGAGATTCCCCAAAAGCTCACCCACACCCTCTTAGAAGATGGTGAAGGTGCTGTCACTGAGGGCTCCAGGAAAATGAGTAAAACACTACTGGGAAGCCAGAAGACACCTCGCCACACAGTGACAAGGCCAGCGGAACTGGATACTGTAGTTACATGGGAAGCAGGAGCTTAGAAACAATAAACGGCTATTTAGCTGAAACTTTCAAGGAAACAGTAAGATCTGACCCGCTCTCTTCTTTCTAGAGTGATACACTGAAGGAAGAACTCATAAATATGAAGAAGCCAGGATCTAAAGACTCAGGAAATTCTCAGCCTACCCAGAGGGCACAAGACACTATAAGCAGAAGTTCACAGCAGGGAGGCCTGCGTGGAGGGAGAGCCGGCGTGACTCTACCATCTTTTTTTTTTTTTTTTTTTGTTCTTTTTCCTTTTTATCGGTACCGGGGATCGAACTCACGACTCCCTGCTTGCAAGGCAGGTGCTTATGCCGCTGAGCTAAATCCCCAGCCCCATCTTTTGCTAGTGTCTCAGAAAGATCAAAAGGCCTGAGTATTCAGTCTGTAAAGAGAGTAAGCGTGTGACTCACACACCTCAGCTATGTCAGAAAAATCCAGAAGCAGAGTGGGAAAGATGTGAGGAGAAAGCTCCTGTTCCACAGAGTAAACCCTGGTCACATACACAGGAGACCCTCAAGTTTCTGACATATTATAATCGAAGAAAGGCATAGAGCACGATCTGAGCGGAAGAAACAAGCTGATAAAATTATTTGGCTGCAAATGCGCACTTCTGTGGAGAAAAGGCCTGTGAGCTGCAAATTCTCCCCAGGCCCTGCAGCCTAGTGATGCGACTGGCTGGCTCGCTTTTCACCCCATCTCCTGCTCTTGGAACAGGAACGTCTGTCACCTACCCTACAGCTGTACGCAATTATACAGGGAGGCCACAGTTTAAGTTCCAGGTTCATGGGTGGTGAGAGGCCACGCCTGGGGATTCATACCCAAAGCCTCTAAAGGAGATGATTTGAACGGTGAGATTTAGGACTTCTGAGTGGAGAAATTCAAGTCAAATTTTGTACTCTGAGTTGATGCTGTTACAGGTTCAGACTTCTGAGCACCTCTGGATGGGATGACTTTATCTAGGATAAATGTGACTCTTTTAAGAGAGGGGTGGACTGGGGTAGGTCAGCATACTAATGCCCTCTGCCCAAGGTCATATCCTAATTCCCAAACCTGTGAACACGGATCCTTCAAGTGAATTAAACAACAACAACAACAAAAAAACCCCTGCTAACCAATTTGCAGGTGTGATTAAGATTACTAATGTCCCTTAAAATGAGGTGCTAACCGTTAGGTATCTGGCAGGTCTAATGTAATCGTGTAAGTACTTATAAGCAAAGATTTTTTCCTGGGTGTTACCAAGGAGATGTGGTCACAGAAGGGTCAGAGACGCAATGCCATGATGTTATTAAAATGAAAGAAGGGACAAAATGCCAAGGAATCAGGGTAGTCCCCAAAAGCTGGATTATCAGGAAATGGTTCTCTAGAACCTCTTAAAAAGAATGCAGCCCTGTTCATACCGGAGTTTGGCATAGTGAGACCCACACTGGGCTTTCATCCTATAGAATTTTAAGAAAATAAGTCTATGCTATTTTAAACTACAACTCTGTAAACAAAGCAGAAAAGGTGGCCAAAAAGGAAGAGGGGTCTGGGAACGGGAATTCTGCAGCTTAATTCCTGACGTAGTGTACCACACTGGAGAAATCCTTGGTTTCAGCAGAAATACAAACACTTATGCCAGTAATTCTTTAGATTTAGTCTAACTGAATTTACCTTCCTGTATTTCTACAATAGCTTTGTTCCAGAACAGAGTAAACTAGGGTTGACTGGAACCGTGTTTAGCATATGTAAAGGATATCCTAGAAAAGTGTTGAATGAATGAATGAGACCAAGGCAGACTCTGAGAGGGCCTGTAGTTACTTGACTTTAAAGCATTGCTGACTATACACCTTCATGAGAACTGCTGATCTATATAAATCATCTGATCCTAGTTTATGATGGTTATAATTCTGTAAAATAAATGTAAGACAAATGTACTGTGATACTACTAATACAGCGAAATGGGTAAGTAAAAAGGGCATTTAAATCCTTAACGGATGAAATAATTATAATATGACCAAATGATTTCATAATATATAGAATATAGATTTCAGTAAATATTACAAAAATTTTCAACTTACTTGACAAAGAAATTCTTACTGGCTGCTGGTCATTACTGCATCAGGAAATTTTAGTGCAAATTTTATCAAATGGATTTAACAAAAAGGGGTTTTGTTCATTTACTCTGCAACGAACGCTGTTACATTAATACTTAGCATGTAACAAACTGTTTTGCTTAGATATTTATAAACTATCAATATAAGTCAGCCCTGTGACTAAAAGTTCAAACATATTTATCTTGAGATCATACCAAGCCAAGTTCATCTATATTGTAAGCCTGGATGATACAATATCAATAAAACCAAAATTTATCTGTACAATTAACAAAAATAATATTGAGTTTCTTATGCTGGAAGTACAGTATTCTCCTTATTAATATGGCCCATTAGTTACTCCTATCGGCAACTGCGTGGATAGGAGTGATATTATTTTAGTTGCTGCAGTATCACAGTGTTAAGAATATCTGCTTCTTGTAGTGTTAAGCTTTCATCTGTTAGCTCCTTATTTGGAAATGACGTCACAAGAGTAAAGTTAAGATTTGCAAATTCAGGCCGGGACCTTACAATAAAGTCCCGGACATCCAGGATCCTGAAGGAACAAGAAAAAAATAATTTGTTATAATAAATGCATATTTAAAATTTTATTTTGCAAAAAAATACACAATTTCATAATCAAATAGTAAGAGATCAACAATAGTTGTTAAACTGTGTGTCATCTTTAAAGTAGAGAGACTTACTCAGAGTATAAGACAAACCAAAAGATTCTTACAGGAAGAAATACAAATCTTTCTTCTTCACAAACTAAGATAAACTAATAGTATAAATGAAACTAATTCACATGTATACTAAAATATTTTTAAAACAATGGAACTTGGGTAAATATTTGAACTTCAGTTCAGGCTGGCCTCGAGCTCACTTTGTCCCCAGGCCGGCCCTGAAGGTGTGTGATCCTCCTGCCTCGGCCTCCCAAGTGCTAGGGTAACAAGTGTCCACCACCACACCTGGCTGAACTTCTATTTCCGCCTTCACTTTTTGTTTGTTTCTCTTAGTAGAGAAAACACACGATGTGTGAGTGTGTGTCTAAACCATTTCACTAAACGTTTCGATACAAGCTTTTAGCTAAACTCAAATCATCAGGGGTAAGATCATACAATTCCAATTCTTATTTAAAGATGTTGTAACTGTAAGCTCCACTTTGTCTACTTTGGTAGAAGAATGTATCTTAGTCTTAAAATAAAACATAACGATTAACTTTGGAGTGTTCGTGACACTTTTACTGCAAAATAGAGACAATTTTCAGGTAGAATGTGAAAACAATTATTAACAATACTGTTTTATTAAAAATGCAAGCTGTGATTTTTTTCCTAGTATAAAATGCATTAGCACTATATGGACAAGAAAAATGTAACTTGGATTGGCATCTGGCAGGATCAGTCTGTAAATTTTAAGAATAATTTTTTAAAAAATTCGTTTGTATTTATATAGCAACTCAACTAAGAGCATAAATGCATCCCTTAGGGTTTTTGTATCAAGGAATAAAGATATTTTATATGCACAACAAATTTGTGTCCAATATTAAAGGGAATTTAAAATAATCAGACATTCTGGATAACATAATTAAGCTGTATTTACACTATACATAATTATATGTATAATTTCTACAGAAAGTTTATCTCAATTAGAGATAACTTAAGGTTTCATGATGCTGGATTAATTCTGATTCCACTTCATGTGCTTTTGTCTACCCTGCAAAAGGGGTATTTGTGTGGTTTATTTGTGTGTGGCATTTGAATTTACAGTAGTATTTGGATGGTTTACAGAGATTAATTGCTATTTTACTTCCTATACATATTATCCTTCTGTTTCCTCTGACAAAAACTTATTTCAACAGTAAATAAAGAATTTCACATTATAATTAAATTGTGCTCGTTGTACTTGGGGTGGTAACAGGAGCCAGGGCTGGGGAGACGCTCAGGGGCACAGCGCCTGCCTGGCAGGTGCAGTAACTGGGAACTCCATCCCCAGGGCACCGCCACCCCACAAAAGGAAGCGAGCAGCTTCGCTGGGAAACAGCTTACCTGTGTGTGCTATTAAATCTCTGGATCAAACGGCTCCCGTCTGCTAACCTGATCTGAACTTTTGTAGTTGGCACCGAATCATCCACAAGAACAACTGCGTTAAATATGGATTTGTCTTCCTCTTCTGGGGAGGAAGGCGTGCTAACAATTTCAGGAGTGAGGCTAAAAGGGAAGAATTGAAGAGTGAGAATACAAATCTGAGTGAGTGTGACATAAAAAATGATGATAATAAATACCACGCTGTGGAGCTGATTCTTCAGCGACTTCTCGTGATTTCCAGAGCAGCAAGACCATGATTTTGCTTGAATCTCCTCCACCTCTTCCAGCTCCTTACATTATGTAGAATTAAAATTCTCCATGGTTCTGTGTCTAATATTGCTCAGAAATCTAACTTTATATCCTTTCCACAATTATCCTTTTGGAATTTCATCAGATTATCTAGCACAAGAGTTTTTACATCACCTTCTTTAATACTTAGCTTTTAAAGTCTTTCTACTTAAAACTTCCCCGTCATTCAATTCATCAGACAATAATGACATTTTTATATACTATTTAATTCAAGGTTTCCATTACAAAGAAAATTTTACTACTATCATCATTCCTAAACAATACAGTGTAACAGATATTTGCAGAGTATTTATATTGTATTTGGGATTATAAATATTGTAGGGATGAACTAAAGTACACAGAACACAGGCACAGGTTATGATACATACACCTTTGGTCCACTTAGCTAAAGGGAGCGTTAAGTATCTGTGTTATTGTGTGAACATATACAGTGTGCTTACAAAAGCAGAGAAGACTGCATAGCTTACTACATACCTAGACTGTAAATTTACACGGCATAGCCTACTACTAATGCTATGATGAACTAAACAACAGGAGGTTAAATCAAATACAGGAGAAAACGATGGGATCAGGAGATGTGGCATTGATGAGGTATGTGAGGCCCTGCTGGCATGACACAGTACAGTATTTTACAGTGAACTGCAGTAATTCCTATAAGTACACAGCCAGTAGCAGCCATTTATTATCACGCATTATGCAGTGCACTTTGGTGTATGTTCTCTGTTCTTGTAAGGCTGGCAGTGAGGAAGTCTATACCAGCACTGCCACAAACAAAGTGCTTTGCAAAGTTTTCGGCTACACTATAACCCTGCAGGACAGCATGGACATGCAGTTCTTTGCACTGACTGACATGCTGTTACACAGCACATGATGGCATCGTGCAGATTTACAGACAGGACTTCAGCACCTGTCTGTTTTCATATGCACAGGGGCCCTGAAATTACACACCCGCAGACACTGAGTAACAATCCTTTACTTGTACTATAAAGGCAATCACTGTGAAGAGGAAGGCATGCTGCTCTTCTGGTACCCGGTGACAGACCTGTTGGCTGTTATAGCACAGTCATGATGGAATGTTCTAGTGTTCCTGCTTCATGGGCGTTACACACCTGACTGGGGGGGGGCATTTTCTTTAGAAACAGTGTTATTTTAGGTTTGCTTTTGACCAAGGAAAGCTTTGTTTTCCGCCACTTCGAGGTGCTAATAAACTAGCCAAAGCATAAAAACCTCCTTCTTTCCTTAAGATAGCAGGCAGATTGCTGTCTACAATCAAAGCTTGGTTCAGGCTCATGATGAATGTGCACTCTTACCACCAATCTCCCTTGTATCACTTTCTGGCATTTTCAGCAGCTATTTGCTTTATAGAGAAAATGGCCTTTGCGAGACAGCATCATCAGATAACAAGCTTACATGCAGGAGATGAATTTGCAGATTATAAACAATGGCTCTTCTCAGTGGTCTTTCCTTTATGCTATCCTCTTTGACTTAAATACATTTAACATACTAAAACAGATTACATTTTAATATACATTCTTGGCCATAAATTTAAGCATGCACACAAATACAGCAAAACCATAATCATAATCATAATCTCAATAAGTACCAAATAAAAGTGAGAAGGCCTAGAAAATTAATGGGAGTGGGGAAGAGGTTCCTAGTCATAATTTTAGATAAATCAAATAAACAAACCAAGAGGGAGGAAGCCAGACCTGGCTGGCAGGAAAGAGAGATGAGGAACATTTCTAAATAGACCCAAGATTGGACAGCGATGAGTTAAAAAAGCAAAACCAAACCAGGTTGGTCAACGCATCTTTCTGTATTTCTCACAACTCCTTGGATATTCCAGGAAGCAGTCTCTATTAGGAGAAAGGACAGCAGAAAGGGAGGCTAGAGACATAAAAGTACAAATAACCACTATTAAATCAATATTAAATTCCTTCCTATTTTGAGAAAGGAGAAGAAAAAGACACACACATTGAATAAGGCGTTAAGTGGATTCAGAAAGAATCACGAAAGGAACACGGGGCATAAAATGATTACTGTGTCACCACCAACCTGAGACCCCACATCACACACTGCACCGTGGGAACGAACGCAGGTAACTTTCACCAACACAGTTCATATGATTTAGGAAGATTTCATCAAGCCCTGAATGAGGGCTCCACGGATACATTCTGACATCGACTGGATTTTACATTGTGCTTTTCAGAGTCTCAGGTGCTGTTTGGAAATGTCTCAAAAGGCAATTCTCTCCTGGGCCACAGTCAGAGAAGCTCAGGTTTTTAGATACTGGGCTTCCATAATTTGGAGAAAGACTCTGGATGTTTAAAAACCACTGAAAATCACCAATCTGGTGGATATCTCAGCAAGCAAGGGAGCATCACAGGTTCCAGAAGCCCCGCGGCCTGCGTAAGTGCTCAGTGCACTCTGCCCAAAGCCCAGACTGTTCAGGACCCTCTAGGCTTCCGGGTGCAGTGAAGTGGATAAGTGGGTTTGAGGCATCTACATCCGCCTCGCCATCCCGGCTGCGCTTGGAGAACTGTGGAGCTTCCAACAAGCAGGTGGGCGCACAGTGTCCCTGAAGCCCAGCTTATCTGGAACTATGGAGTTCTAAACAGGCAGAAGAGGGCCATTGGTTCTATAGGCCCAGTGGCTTGGGGTAACTGGGTGCCAGAGTCTCAGGAGCCACGAACATAGAAGAGGATTTCCAACAGACCCTGAGGAAGCTTTCAAATAACACTTGAAACACAGAAATATAGGAAAATGACAAAACGAAAGACCAAATTACAACCTCAAACCTCCAGCCCATCTCAAGAAACCCTAGGATCAATGTATATAGAAGAAAATATATGCCTTTCACCTCAAATATCGGACACAATAGCTACTGAAATTAACAAGCAACTCCAGGAAGCTTTAAAGGAATTCAAACTCGAAATAATCTTCCAGGTAAAAGAAGAAATGATAAAAGAAATGAAAGAGATTCTGAATATATCTAAAGAAAACACAGTTAAAAAACTGGAGAAATTAAACAAAAAGATAGAATCCCTAGATGAGCAATATAAGAAACAAACAGAATACATAATGCAGATGCACAGAGATATACAGGGAATAAAAAACTCCACTGAAAGTTGTAAAAACCGCCTCAATGAAAGTGAAGATAGAATTTCAGACCTTGAAGACAGGATTGCAGCTAGTGAACAGGAAAGGAAAGATCTTTTAAAAATAACAAGGAATCAGGAAACAACAATTCAACAACTGCAAGACGATGCAAAGAAAAATAACATAAGAGTGATAGGGATTCATGAAAAAGAAGGAGACAACATAAAGGATGTCAAGAGGATACTTAGAGAAGTAATAGCTGAAAATTTCCCAAGCATGAGATCAGAAACCGACATCAGGATCAGTGAAGCATATAGAACTCCAAATAGTCATAACCAAAATAAAACTACACCCAGACATATAATAATCACCATCCCAGAAATCCAACACAAGAATAGATTATTAAAAGCTGTCAGAGAGAAAAGACAGATCACTTATAAAGGAAAACCTATCAGAATCACAGCAGACTTCTCAGCACAAACAATAAAGTCAAGAAGAGCATGGAGTGAAGTATTCCAGATCCTAAAGCAAAATGATTTCCAACCTAGACTGATGTATCCTGCAAAACTATCATTCAAAATTGATGGTGAAATATGATACTTCCATGACAAAGAAGAGCTGAAGAACTTCATGATCACCAAACCAGCCCTGCAAAAAATATTGAAAGACAGTTTAGATACACAAAGGAAAAAACCACTAAGCAAAGCAGATAATTAAACAGAACAGAAAGATAAAGATGCAACAGCAGAGAGATAACATGTCAACAAGAAACCAGCATTTAACAGTAATAACCATTAATGTAAATGGTCTCAATGCACCAATCAAAAGAAACAGACTAGCAGAATGGATCAAGAAACAGAATCCAACCATATGCTGTTTACAGGAAATCCATCTAACACAGAAGGATACTCACAGACTGAAAGTCAAAGGATGGAAAACAATACTTCATGCAGCAGGAATCCAAAAAAAAGCATGAGTAGCCATTCTGTTTGCAGACAATGTGAACTTTAAACCAACAATGACCATAAAGGACAAAGAAGGTCACTACTTACTCGTTAGGGGAAAACTCCAAGAGGAAGAGATAACTATCTTAAATATATATGCACCAAACTCCAGAGCACCGAGTTATATAAAACAACTATTAACAGAAATGAAAACTCAAATTATCAGTAACACAATTGTAACAGGAGACCTTAATATGCCATTGACACCAAGGGACAGATCAACCAGACAGAAAATGAGCAAAGAAATAACAGAACTGAATCACAGTTGCGAACAAATGGATTTGATGGACATATACAGAATGTTCCACCCAACATCAGAATACACATTCTTCTCAGCAGTACATGGATCATTCTCTAAAATAGACCATATATTAGCTCACAGAACATATTTAAACAAATGCAAAAGAGTTGAAATCATCCCTTGCATGTTATCGGATCACAGCGCTCTGAAATTAGAAATTAATGATAAAAGATACTGCAAAAATCCCACAAACATTTGGAAACTGAATAACACACTCTTGAGTAATCAGTGGGTCACAGAAGAAATTAAAGAAGAAATTAAACAATACCTAAAAGAAAATGAAAATGCAGATACAACTTACCAGAATTTGTGGGATGCAATGAAAGCCGTCCTCAGAGGAAAATTTATTGCACTGAGTTCCCACATCAGGAAAACAGAACGAATACGAATAAATAACTTGATGCTACACCTCAAACAGCTAGAAAAAGAAGAGCAAGTCAAGCCCAAAGCCAAAAGAAGAGAGGAAATTATAAAAATCAGAACAGAAATCAATGCAATAGAGACTAAGAAAACAATCCAAAGCATCAACGAATCAGAGTTAGTTCTTTGAAAGAATAAATAAAATCGATAAGCCCCTAGCCAACCTTATTTAAAAAAGGGAAGAAAAAGCTCAAATTCATGCAATAAGAAATGAAAAAGGTGAAATCACTACAGACCCAATAGAAATACAGAAGATCATCAACACCTATTTCGAAAACCTCTACTCTCAAAGGTTTGATAATACAGAAGAAATAGACAGATTCTTAGAAACATGTGAAGTACCAAAGCTAGATCAAGAGGATGTAAAACTGTTGAATAACCCAATCTCTGTTAGTGAAATTGAAAATGTAATTAAGTCCTTACATAAAAAGAAAACCTAGATGGATTCACTGAAGAATTCTACAAGAAATACAAAGAAGACCTAACGATGACTCTCCTCAAACTATTCAATGAAATTGAAAGGGAAGCAATCCTTCCTAAGTCATTCCTGGAAGCAAAGTACCAAACCTAGTACCAAACCTGAGAAAGACCCAACTAAAAAAGAGAACTATAGAGCGATCTCCCTAATGAACACAGATGCAAAAATCCTCAATAAAATATTGGCAAATAGGATGCAGCAAATCATGAAGAAGATTATACACCATGACCAAGTGGGATTTATCCCAGGAATGCAAGGATGGTTCAACATACGCAAATCAATAAATGTAATCCACCATATCAATAAAGCCAAAAGTAAGAATCACATGATCATTTCTATAGATGCAGAAAGAGCCTTCGATAAGGTCCAACATTCATTCATGAAAAGAACTTTACAGAAAATTGGAATAGATGGTCTTTACCTCAATATAATAAAGGCCATTTATGACAAACCAACAGCCAGCATCATACTAAATGGCCAAAAATTGAAAGCCTTTACTTTAAAATCAGGCACAAGACAAGGATCTCTTTTATCACCACTCCTATTTAATATAGTACTGGAAGTACTAGCCAGAGCAATTAGGCAAGAGAGAGAAATAAAAGGGGTAAAGATAGGAAAAGAAGAAGTTAAATTATCATTGTTTGCAGATGACATGATATTCTACATAGAAGACCCGTTAAACTCCATTGAAAGACTCTTAGATACAATAAATAAATTCAGTAATGTAGCTGGCTACAAAATCAATACTCAGAAATCAATAGCATTCCTATACACTAACAACAAAATCACAGAGAGGGAAATAAGAGAAACTACACTCTTCACATTAGCAAGCAAAAAAAATGAAATATTTAAGAATTACTCTTACGAAAGAAGTGAAAGACCTATACAGGGAAAATTATAATACCCTAAAAAAAGAAACTAAAGATGATCTCAGAAAATGGAAAGACATCCCTTGCTCATGGACAGGAAGAACGAACATTGTGAAAATGGCCATTCTCCCAAAACTCTTATACAGATTCAATGCAATCCCAATAAAAATACTATCAACATACCTTATAGATCTAGAGAAGTCACTCCTAAAATTCATCTGGAACCAGATGAGACCTAGAATAGCAAAGGCAATTCTAAGCAGCAAAGGCAAGGCAGGAGGCATCACAATCCCTGACTTGAAGTTATACTACAAAGCAACAGTAGTAAAATCAACATGGTACTGGAATCAAAACAGAGACAAAGATCAATGGAACAGATTAGAAGATACAACCACAACTACAAATGCACTCAACCACCTTATCTTTGATAAAGGAGTCAAGCAGGTTCACTAGAAGAACGACAGTCTCTTTAATAAATGGTGCTGGAAAAACTGGCTCTCCATTTGCCGAAAACTAAAGCTAGACCCATGTCTATCACCATGTACTAAATTAAAATCTAAATGGGTCAAAGATCTGAATATTAAAACAGAAACACTAAATCTATTGGAAGACAAATTGGGTAGAAACCTTGAAGACATAGGAGTAGGTAGAGAATTCATGAACAGGACTCAAACCGCACGGGAAATACTTCCCAGAATCAATAACTGGGAACACTTCTTATTAAAAAGTTTCTGCATGTCAAAAGAAATCTCCAGCATAGTGAAAAGAAAACCCACAAACTGGGAGAAGATTTTAGTGAACTCTCTCTCAGACAAGGGACTCTTGTCTAAAACATATAAAGAATTAAAAAAACTCAGACCCCCAAAATTCAAAGATCCAATCCAAAAATGGGCATCTGAGATGAATACACACTTCTCAGATGAAGAAATACAAATGGCAAATAAATACATGAAAAAATGTTCATCATCATTGGTCATTAGAGAAATGCAAATTAAAACCACACTGAGATACCATCTCACTCCTGAAAGAATGGCCAGGATCAAGAAAACCAACAGCAACAAATGCTGGAGAGACTGTGGGGAAAAAGGAACTCTCCTACACTGTTGGTGGGAGTGTAGACTGGTATAACCTTTGTGGAGGTCAGTCTGGAGATTTCTCAAAAAGTTGGGATTGGAAATCCCATTTATTCACTTCTAGGCATATTCCCAGAAGAACTGAAAGCATCATACCACAGGGATATATGTGCACCTATGTTTATAGCAGCACAATTTGTAATCGCCAGATCTTGGAAACAACCCACGTGTCCATCAACTGAGGAATGGATAAAAAAGTTGTGGTATTTCTATACAATGGAGTATTACTCAGCTATAAAGAAAGATCACATTGAGATATTTATCAATAAATGGGCGCAGCTTGAGACCATACTCATAAGTGAAATAAATCAATGTCGCATGTGTGAATACCGAATAGTTTCCCTAATGTAACTAATGATTCAAATATATAAAAATATGTGGTAATCATGATTCCCCATTATGTGGCCTTGAAGCCTTATAAAGTTTTCACTTATTAATTGGAAAGGCTTTATTCTGGGCTTCTTGATATGGAAATATTTGAAGCTATAGTATATGAAGTTTTATTCAAATATTTCAAGGAAAAAGACAGACACTATGGTAACTACTAATAAAGTCGGGTTATTTGGTGGTGAAGCACTAGGTTGCTGAAACAGTCATGCTTTGGCCTGTATTGTTATATTGTTATGTCCTTTTTTATCTCAATCTCTCCCTTATTCATTAAAAAAATTGTTATTTTTTATGGTTTTTTTTAATTGAGGGGAAAAATTAAGGAGGTTGGCAGGATGTGTTGTAGCTTTTTTTGATTTCCTGTTAACTCGTTTTGAGGTCCTGTGGTGCTCCCACTATCTTGTTTTGACTGGTTGGACTCTGTTCCATTCTGTCTGATAGTGTCGGGTTTGAGGGTGTGGGCAACTACTTTGGGGGCAGTGGGATTCACTGGGATGCCCATTCTGGTTTGACTATTGTCTCCTTTGGAGGTCCTGTAATGTTTACAATGCTTGAGTTTTGTTGGTCTTGTTCTCTACTGTTTTGTTCAACTTTATGATGCCTGGTGAGATAGACAATTCTTTTTGGGGAGACAGGAGACATTGTGGTGACCAGTGTTGATAACCTTGTGCTCTGTTCTTGCATCGTGTACTATGTCTATCCTTGGTTTTGACTGGCAGCTTTGTTTTGCCATATTTGACTTTATTCTCTTTCAAAAAAAAAAGTAATAAGAACTAAGGAGTAATAAAACCCAAAATATGTAAATTTTGTTGTAAAAAGGAGAGGGAAGGAAAGTGCTCTGACAGATACAACAGCAAGTGTGTTTAGGGGTGTTAAATAGCTGACCATATTAATGTTTTTGGTTGGATCATTGAACATGGCTGTTTGCAGTCTCACTGTTTTAATGTCCACTTTGTATGCTTTGATACTTGACCAACTATCTCTAACTGGTGATTTCTTACCTTTTTTTTTTTGTAGTTCTGTATTACTTGTACCCTTGCACCGCTTTGTTTTGTTTTGTTTTTTCTTTTTCCTTTTAAATAAAATAAAAAAAAAGAAAAAGAAAATCGCCAATCTAAGTATACTACTCCTGTGGCAACAGCTTAGTGTTAAAGTGGTGACAGATACTACCTTTTAACCTAGTCAGTGGCCTTTTACAGTTTCCCCTTTTGAAACTATGTAATCTAAGAGGCATGTGACATAATGCTGGTGTTTAACTCCTCATTTCCTGGTTCAATCATCTTAAGCAAATTATCACATCTGCAAAATGGAGCAGTAAGTGTCTCAAAGAATTGTTACTAAGAGAACCAATAATATCAAAAAGTGGTACTGCTAGGTACTGACACTAATATTACCAGATCTGTGTATCTAAATAACCGGAAAGGTCTTCCCACTTCAGATTTCGGGTTTATTTCATAGGCCTTTTTTTTCCTCAAAATTCATGTTTTTCAACATGAATTTTTTTCAACAAGCATTTTCTCACTGTAATTTTTACCTTCCCAGTTTTTGCCCTTCTCCACTGAAAGCCTTGAACCTCAGTCTCGGTTTTATGTATTCTTGATCCTGATGATCCTCCATGTCCAAGTTCACTTGGCCACCATGAACCAGTCGCTGGAGCTCCAAGGGAATCTCTCTTAAAAAGACAGGGAAAAGTTTAGTTGTAGTTTTTTTAAAAAAAAAAAACTACACTGTAGAGATTATCATAATCAAAATATGAGCTATACTATCAAACAGTAATTTTTGTTTAACTTTAAAATTTCCAAGTTGACTGATCTGAATGTGCAGTTCTTTCTTCAGGTTAACTCACACTGTTCCTTGGTGGTTCTCACAACAGGAAGGGTTTGTTTGTCAGAGTGACCCTGGAGTACATTCAGGAAGGTACGATGTAGGACAGCAGTTGATCCTGACAATGTGCATCAGGAGAACTACTTACGATAAACATTTATTTCTAAGCCCCCGTGAGGAAGCACAGAGGCCTGGCAGGTGTGGTTTCTTCACAGGTGACTGGTGTGAGGGCAGGGAGAGGAGAAGCAGGGGAGCGAGGGGCTCGTCCTGGGCGATGAAGACGGCCCTGGGGTCCAAGAACCAGAGACCTACCAGAGATTCACATGGATGACTATATTCATAAGGGCTGAGCCTCAGACTTACACTTGTCCTACAAATAAAAACCACTTTGAGGTATCTTTATTTTAATATGCTTTGGCATTTCCAGGAATCTGTCTGCTCTGTAAGCCGAGGAAAGGCTGCACTTTGCTTTGTGTGAAACTCAGACACCCTTGAGTGCAACGCTACTCACAGTGACTACGCTGACCACCTCATGGACCTCCCCATCTGTGTTCAGACCTGGCGCGTTTACATGGGCAGGGCCGTATTCAGAGACGCACAAACTAATGACTTCTCACATCTGCTGGGGTGCCACACTTTGGTCATTTGTAAGTTGAAATAGCTACCAATTTCTGATAGTTACTCTCCATTATTTAATATATTTAAGGTAGAATTATATGAAGTATAAGGTAGAATTAAAGTTGTATCAATTTTGTGAGAAATGATGTATACAGGAAGATGGTATTGTCTACAAGTTCTTCTTTTAGGACAGTGAAGACAATAATATAAAGTACTATAAAAAGGAAACAATGAGTTTTGTATAGTTGAGACCACTACCTGTCATTATCCATTTCTTCAAGAAGCCTTTTCTAAAAAGGCTTTTTCTTTTTGTCCCAGAAATGAACTCAGGACCTTGCATTTGCCAGGCAGGTAGCATGCTATATCCCCAATCGCTAAAACTTTCTTGAGCATAATCTGTACTTGGTGATATGGCTCAAATCTAAAACTCCCAATACACCATTTGTCTGAACATAACTACAAAGTGTATGAATTAACAAAGTCAGTTTTGATCTTAATATAGAATCAAATCATCAATGTTTTCATCTACGATATGTGTTGTACTCGACTCAAAAAACAAGGCCCCATGATGAAAAACGGGGCAAGACCCCAAGATGGTAAACAGGGCAACACATCTTTTTAAAAGAAGCGCTTTTATTTTAGCTGGCCCAGTGACACAGTCAGATGGAATTTGCAAAGCTGTGCAACTGAGTTAGAGTTTTGACTGATTTTTATAGTTCATTTATGATTAGCTCATTGATCATTAAGTATATAGCAATGAGAAACAGAAATAAGGTGGGCCTTTGTTCCCCTTTGCTTGAGGTCAGAGGCATTTCACAGTGGGTGATTAGCCAAGTCATAGCCCTTGGTCTGCCAATTCCAGGAACATTTGTGTCTCATAAAGGGAACAATGGTTGATACAGCATCATTTGTCTCTTACAAGGGGAACAAAAGTTGACATAGCACACAGGTCACTAAGGTGGGGGGGATGACGCATTACAGAACAGCATAACGATGTGGTCAGTCAATTTATAACTATTTGGTTGGTTACTAGGATAATGAGCTCAGTACAGAATGACAATATTACTAATAACTATCTTTTTAAGTAACTATTTTTGTTAATTATCTTTTAATCAATTATTTTAATTTTTAGCATCTTAGTATAACATATGGAAATGAGCATCAATTTCAGTAGCAAGACTAGTTTCACTTGGTCATTGAACACTTCCCCCTCCACTTGTTCCCAAACACATCAGCAACTCTGGTAGTTTTCAGCTACACAGCATGGACCTAAACTGTTAGATCCAAGTATTTCCATCACATCCTGGCTCTCAGGATAGCCTCCCAGCGTTCTCAATGAGTCCAACACATTGCTTACTGAATTTCTTACCCTTGCTGTGGGTGTCCTGACATTACCTGTGCAGAATTTATTTTTTAAAATTAAGTTTACTGGTACACTTTAGATATGCATAATGACCACATACTCCATAGGGAGCTTTAGAATTTAAATGTAAAATTCACGCTATCTAAAATGCCTTTTCTTCAGATTGACTTGGTAAATGAATGCCACACAATCTCATTTCCACTCCACTTCAGGCACCACCGCTGAACACATTTCGCCTTTTGGAAAAACTCTACCTTCATTCCCTTTATGGGGTATAATCTACTTTGGTTTCATTAATATCCTATGGTTAGTTGTATTTCTCCTTAGGAACAATTCAACTGTCAACCAACAAAATCATACTGCTGAAAAGTTTTATTATCATAGCAAAATCACTTGATTCCTCAACCTTTAGCAAAAACATGGATTATAATATTCTTCAGATGGGCTAGAGCACCGAGTATTTGGTTCATTTTCATAAAATGTCATTTCAAACTAACCTTTTGAAACCCTGCCAGCCGTAATATCACTGTAGCAGAGCTCTAATATGGGTTGCTGGATTTCAGGCGTGCATATGGTCAGAATGATGCTGTCAGCAGTAAGCAAGATAGTGACTCAGGGGACTGGTGGCCACACACTAATCAGTGCACTGATTTATTTCATTAAAAGGTTTCTTTTCAGAGTCCATAGAGTCGTCAGGTTAAAAGAGTAATATCCACTGCTCCTTCCTCACAAAAAACCAGAATAAACATTTCCTTAATAAGCACTACGTAATATATTCCAGTAACTACTTCTTTAAAAGTAGCAGTTGACTACTGAAAAATATTTCGTTTAAAAAAAAATACCACTATAGGGAACGAAATACAAATAACACATCTTACCCTCTCTTAACAGACTCCAAAAATTGAGCGTTTGTTGGGTCACTGTAAGGTCTCAATTCTCCATCATCTAAACTGAAACCATTGCTCCACAGCTTAAGCAAGATCTGAACCTTTTGGACATAGAACATAAAAAGTGTAAGAATCCATCTTCATCAAACAACGTAACTTGCAAATGTGATTATCTCACAACACACTACATCATTTACATAATTTCAAATACAGAGATATGAAACTAAATGTTTGCTCAGCAGATTTTTTTTAACCTTAACTGACAATGGTTACAAATACCAAGGTCCTGCAGGTAGACCTTGGCCTTAAGTACAATCATTCATGGTTACTGAGAAAGGTAAAGCAATTAGAAGAAAAAAATCCAGCTGACACATTGTCACGTCCACCCTAGTCCTATATCTCCAACCGTATCTTTCTCTAGTACACAGCTTCCTCATGCCAAAGGAAAGACTCACCTTTCAGTAATATTCCAAGAAACTATGAATGTTTAAAATGAAATTATAACTCCAAAATTTCCATGGGGAATGGAAACAGACATCACCATAGGTGTTCTCTATTTATAACTCACTTTACACTATCACAGTATGCAATTTACAGTTATTATATACATGGAAGGCCATTCTAATGGTGAGTTACACGTCCTTTCCAGTTAAATTCTCTAAGTCAGGACTGAAAAAAATGAGACTGAAAACTCACAAACTGTTTCTTTTAATCCATGTTTAAACTAACGGTAGAGATTATATTTGTATTATTAATTTTTAATTTTAAAACAAATAGTAGGAACTAGAGGCAAATACCTACACATTTTCCTTTTACTTACATCTTGCAGCTGACTTTCTCCATATATATATTCAGACCGTTTATAAAAGGAATTGCCCAGTCTATATCCTCCACCTGTAAATGACTAAAATACATACTGTGTTAAAACTTCACTAAGGTGTATGCATCAAAATAATATTATTACAGCTGATATATTTTAAGATAATATATCACAACTGTCCAAACTAGTAGGCAATATAAAATTTTATATATTAGAATTAAGGCCTTATGCTACAGAGAAATATACTCAAGGAATTAAGTTTCCTTTCATAAAAACAGTAATAGCTCAAAGGTTTGCTAATTTAGGCAAATCTCCTTTTTTTAAAGACAGGGTCTTGCCATGTAGTTCAGCCTGGCCCTGAACATGCCATGCAACAAGGCTGGCACTGAATGTACGGCAGCCGTCCCCCTTCAGCTTCCAGTCTCACCACTGCACCTGGCGATTTAGGCAAAGCTTAAAAGGTACACATTTATACGCTGAAATACACATTTTCAAGTACATATATACTGACAAAGGCCACCGTAAGTATTTTATGACAAGTCACAATAAGTTACGATTAGACTATATTTCATGAAATTTCACAGAGTAAAGAATTTTTAGGAGGTGTAAATTACTAGCCATTAGTAAAGTACACATTAACATCATTAATCATTAGGGAAAGGCAAATTAAAACCACACTGTGGTGTCACAGTGCACTTACGAGAATGGTTAAAATTAAAAACAGTAACGCTGAGTGCTGAGAAGCATGCAGAGAAACTCTCACACACTGAGAATATAAAATGGCACAACTGTTTTGGAAGGGGAGGCTATGAGGAATACAAAGGACAAAGAAGTAACACACACGACAACTATAATAGCTCTCAGGGACTTTCTGTTGAGCGATGATGCTCATGAAAGATCACCGATTATATGGTTCCATTTATACAACATTCTCATGGAAAAAAAGATTGGTGGCAGCCAGAGATTAAGGGTAGTGGGAGACAAGATATGTGATGAGAGACCTTTGTCATAATCTCGACTAAGGTGATTATTACACAAATCTACACACAGTAAAACAACACAGAACTATCACTGGTACACACTGTACCAATGTCAACTCCTGGCTTTGATCTTGAACTACTGTATAATCATACAAAATGGAATCACAGCAAAAACCTGGGTGATAAGTGTGTGCTTTCTGTATTCTTACAAATTCTTGTGAACCTACAATTATCTCAAAATTAAAAACACAGAAAAGAAACTGCCTTAACTTTCAATCATTAATAGGTTACAGTCTCATAAAAATGAAACAATATTTAAAATGAAATAAAAGTTAGAAAAACAATGTTTATAAACAGCCAAAAAAATTAAAGAGATCAAATATAGAAATGATGTAATTTTACAATAACACAGACCTTTGATTTGTCATCACCTGAAGACCTCGTGGCTTCATTCAGAGGGATGGCCCCATGTTCCTTTGCTTCTTTGAAAAGTTCATTCACAATTTTCCCAGTTGAAGGTCGAACGATACGTAATCCACTGTATTCATGCTCACCTGAATAAAATCTTTAAATATTATAGATCATGAATAAAACTTAGAATAATAGACAAATTACTCAGGTAATAAACTATACACTCTTGTTTTTCTTTTTAAGAAAGCATTCCTGACTTCTTTGAAAATCTCCTTTAAATGAGATAAAGAAAAGACCAAGCAGGAGCGTTCATACACTTCTGCACTGACTTCGCAGAGATCCTGACAGTACGTTCACCACTAAGCGTGATAATTAGTATCTGCATATCAAATGTATTCTGACAGATCAGTTTCTTTTGAAATAGTAGGGAAACCACTACTGAGTACCAACAACAGTGAAAAACCAGAAGACAGAACTTCCTCTCGAGGAATCCACTTGGTGGAAACTGATCTATAGATTTACACAACGTAACATCAATTTCTAGAGTATCGGACGAAGCAGAAAAGGGTTACTCCGTGGAGATTTCTGGTCTGAGAAAGACTCACCAGCATCCTTCTATGTTAAAAGTGGACAATTTAGACCATGCACAGTGTGTTGCTTACATAGTGACTAATTTATATCTTGGTAAATGTTCCTAGGGAACATAAAAATTTCCCTTAGCTAAAATCAGTACTCTATTTTTATTTTTCAAGATTTTTTTCAATCTTGGATATAAGAAAATGCAACCAATAAAGTACCATCACAAATACTTCAAAAATAAGATGACAAGGTTCACACACCTTTCCACACCTTTGTCCGAGTTCCAAATTCACTCAGAACTGATTCACAAAACAATTCAATGGAAGTAAATTAAGTCAATCAGTATATGCTCAAAACAGGGAAAACAAACACTCCAAGAGTAAAATGTAGGTAGACAGGCTACAGTAAGTACTTTGAAAATTTGAGGAAAGTATAAATTAAGGAAGTAGTTTAAAAATATATCTCTACAAGGTATGATAAAAAACATGGTAAGTTTATATTTTATTTTAATTACAGTAAAAGACGCACTGCCATTAACCTTTCTCAAAATACTTCCCCTCACTTTGACCAGGCTTATTACACCATTCTTTTACTATTTAATGCTTATTTTATGAAAAAACAAAATTTCAAAACAAAATAAGAGCAGTTAATACACTACCAACATCATCAGCAGTTCTGCAAGTCTTTTTCGTGTCTTTAGTTGGGCTGTGGAGGCCACCTTGATATCTTTAACAGAGTCAGTTTACCTTTCACGGTCATGAATTTGGGGAACAGCCAGCAGGCACAGGGTGTCAGCTGCGGTGAACAGGGTGATCGAGGGACACAAAGATAATTTTACAAACTTGATGGCAGCTTGGCAGCAGCCTTCACTGCACTTCTGACCACACTGTGTAAAGACGATCCTGGGGACATTCACGCTGCTTCAGAAAGTGGTAAGAGAGATGGGGGGAGCATGTTCACTGCAAGGGTAAGTGTTCCGATAAGGACTAACGGTGATGCATCCTTCCTGTAGGAAAGTATTAACATTTAAGGATTCACTGTTTATTTTATTATATGCACACAGTCTGCCAGAAAATGTATTATACAGCAAGAAAAGAGAAACTTGTATATTTCAACACTAAATTTATTGACATATCATGAGCTTAATGTCACCTTGGCTTCTACAATTACAAGAGGTGCTCAAAGTGGCGGCTAATTGAAGGTAAATACATTTTTTTTTTTTTGCCAGTCTCTCTCTCCACACTCACACTTTGACAAATTAGAACAGAAATTACAATTAAAGGATAGCGCATTTGATCATGCTAACACACCAACCTGCTGATTACCAGAGACAAACTGTGCTTTATAATGGAGTGATGTGGTTGGTGGTCAGGACCTTGGCCAGGTGAATGTATTACCAAAACTGAAACACTTCAAATTACACAGCGCCTCATGTAATTTAATAAAAAGCAGACAACATCAACTACACAGTATTGACAAAAAGCAGTTAAGAATTCAGTATAAGCAAACAACGATCTAGAACGTGGGACACTTTATGAGACGTGTCCCTAAGCTGGATCAGTGGTGGTGAACCTGGAGTATGCATGTTGCAGCGAGCTGCTTTGATCAATGCAAACTCTAAAAAGATTTGCCACCACTGCTCTAAACTCTTCAAAAAAGACAATGTAAGAAACTTTAGATTACGAAGGTAAGCAAAAATAAACAAAAATGTGGGGAGAATGTGCTGGACTAAAAAATTCAAAGCAGGAATAATCAAATACAATTCAGGTCCTTAGTTAAATTCTAATCCCAAAAAAAGCTGTGAGAAATCTAAGTATAGACTACACATTAAATGACATCACAGAACCATTTGCTTTTCTCTGTGGTACTGGGGACTGAACACTGGGCACACCCTCAGTCTCAACCCTTTTTGTGTGGTGCCGGGGCGTGGACTCAGGGCTCTGTGCATGCAGGGCAATGTACCAGAGCCACGTTCCCAGCCTAGTCCTTTTTGTTCTGAGACAGAGAACAGTGAACTTGCTCGGATTTGGATCCTGCTGCCCAAAGTCTCCCAAGTAGCTGAGATTTTATAAATCTGCCACTGTACCTGGCTCCCTGTTAATTTTCTAAGGTGCAATATATTATCAAGCACCTTCAAGTATATAGAGGTAAAATATTATGAAAATATGATGGCTACATATTCTTTCAAACAGCTGAGTAGAAATGAGAATCAGCATGCAAAAGTGCAAGATTATAACACACTGATACTTGGTAAACACAGATGAAGTATACTCAGTATTCATTCACTGCACTAACCTTCTGATTGTCTACAGGTCTCAAAAGGGCAAAATAAAAATTTGGAGAAGTTCCAAAAACTGTTTTTCTTCTCATTCAGGTCAAAATATGTCATTTTTGTCTCCCCTACAAAAAGAATGTGTAGTAACAAAGCAAAAAAATCATTTCTGGTAAATTTTTCAGCTTTTGATAAAGTTATAAACTTTCTGAGTATGAGATATGATCAGAAAATTCAAGTCTTTCCCCAGGGATAAGATCTGCAGCACTAAACATATGTTAACAGAAGTGCTGACAGCAATAAAATACACTAGATTCTCATCTCTTCAGTCACCACAGTGGTACCAGAATGGCAAATATGTCCAAAGGTCACTCACAAGACAAAGTGTCACACAACACCCGGACAGACTTCAAAAGTTCAAGATCTTTAAGTGGAGGAGCAACAATCCATGGACAGATGGGCCTTTACAAACATGAACACTTAAAAACAAGTGACAAACTGAACACAGATGTTACTTTGTGTTACGGATTAAGAAGTGGTGGTCAACAACGCCAGCTGGATTACATCAGCATGGCACTAAGCAAAGATGCTCCCCATGAAGAAAGTTGCCAGCATAAATAGGTGGAGAAGGTTAAGGTGTTAGAGTGTTAATGCATTGTTGCATTGAGGCATTGAGGGTACTCCTATGAGTTGCTGTTTGAGGTGTTAGATTCTCCTGGAGAAACTCTGGTCCTCACATTGAACATTGTTTCCGGGCTCCAGAGGGGAAGTTGTTGTGCTGCTTGGTCTGGCTTCCTGGCATGAACTCGGCTGCTTGTTGGAGGAGCTCGGGGCTTCCGTGTCACTGAGGATGGCTGTGGTGCCTTTCAGGACAGCCCCGGTCTTTGTTGTGAGTGTGACTTCTCGGCTCCAGCGTAGAACCCTTATCCCACCAGCACAGCTCCTTCACCCCGCTGGCATGGACTTCCTGGCTTCCACTGCTCACCTTTGGGCCTTCCCAGCACGGATCCGTAAAGAGACTGGCGTGAGTCCTTGTGGGCTCTTGACCTCCAGCTGGACTTGTGGGAGGTGTTATCATGAGCTCTGGGTTTTTATCTGGACTCATGTGGGACATTGCTGTGGGATTCAGGCCCTTGACTAAATATTCTATGTCTTTGGTGTTGCAGATAGATTTCCTGCATTTTCTTGTTGTTAACTCCTAGTGACCATTATAAAAAAATATTATAACTCCATGTCCTGATTCTAATTGTTCTCTGCACAACCCCTAACCACAACACTTTGGAAGCAGAGGACCTGAGACTTTCGTCAGGTCCTCAATCAATCTTGTGACTCAAATAATACTAAGGAGCAACTGTTGCCAAGAAAAATAGCATTCAAGATACAATTTCACATGCCTAATATAGAAACAAGAATTAAGAGAATTTTCTAAGTTTTTGTTAGATTTTTGGCTATAAAGATTTTAGGAATAGTACTTAAATATCAATTTTTAAAAATTATAATATTAAAAATCCCCAAAGCCAGCTGAACAATGTGGGATTTGTGAAGAAAAAAGGGGGTTTGCTTAAAATTATATAATTTTCTTAAATGCGTTTTGTAATTTTTAAAAAATAAAACATACCGTTGGGGTGGTGTTCGTGGGCTCTTAAAGATCACAGGTTTAGGTCTCTCCGACTTGGAAGATTTGCACTGGGCTTCATCTTCATAGAACTCTGCCAAGGCCAGCTGCAGGTAAGAGGCTTGTTATAAAGTGTAACACTAGAAACGCATCATTCCATGCAAGTCATGAATAGAGCGTTAACTTGAAACTGAGCAGTAAAGATTTCTTATGAAAAAATGAAGGTGGTTGTTTCAAAAAATGATTCATTTTCAAAATACATTCACCACACATCTGAGAACCAAACATCATATATTTTACCATAAACTGAAGTTACAATACCTGCTTATTTTCTATCAACTATTCAAAAGTTTCAAAAATGCCCTAGGTTACAAACCATTTTCAAATCTGAACTTACACCTTCCTCTAGTTCTTTTAAGAATTCTTGAAACTGTTTTATACTAATGCTAGCTTCTTTCATCAGGCCTTAAAGATGATTTCATTTAGCTGTTTACAAAATCCAAGTATATAAAAACAATTTTAAAAGCATTGTTTAAAAGTCTCCCAGACATAAATGTCAACTCTGGCAGGCAAATGAGTTTCTGAAAAATATAAATCAATGAATTCACATATGGTTTATACATTACACCACTTACAAAGCAATACAGCAATACAGTATTATGAAGGTATATATTATAGATAGCACACACCTGGGTATCTTCAAAACAAAATAGCTATATTTATTCTTGTAATATTATTTACTTATTTTTCCCCACTTGTGACATCTTTGAACAGTAACACAAACAAAGTTTCTGTATTCAATTAAAATTAGCATGACCTTAAGATACTGAGTTCCTGTTCTCCCAAAAATCAAACAAAAATTAAAACAAAATGAAAAAAAATACATAAAATGCTTCTTTTGGAAACACAAAATATATGGAAACTATTACCATGAATTTTTTCCTGAGTAGGAAAAACAAAACGAAACTGAGAAGCAGGGCAGTTAATTCTTTGTTTGCAGTGCTGGGGTAAACTGTACCAGGGCTACATCCCAGCTCTTTTTTGAAAATAGCAAACTTAAAACAAACAAACAAGAAATATATATATGAAGGCAAAACTGAAAGATTTCATTTGTAATCTATTTTCTTATTTCAACTCTAACCCCACAACCATATATATATATATATATATCAATTTGTATTCCTAACATGGTTATTTTGCTAGAAATCCCAATTACAAACTGCTTTGTAACCTTAAAAGAAGAGAATTCAAATCCTAACATAGACACTTACTATATGACTTTCAGTAACTTATTTAACTTCTCTGAGCCTTGATTTTTATAACTTTAAATGTGCACAAAAGTCTCATTTGAGGGTTGTTTGAAAGATTAATCATAAAGCACACATGTTGGTTCCATCAGTAGGAGACATTATATTAAGCAAAAGTTTAAAACTCATTGTAATAGTGATTCATTTTCCCAAATATTTCCTTTCTTTCAGCAGTATTATCTACGTATCTCATACGGTTCTTCACCACTTTATCTCCTCTGATAAACAAAATGAAATGAAACAGGAGCAGGAGAAGGGGAGAAATGGACTGATGACTTGTTTTTAAAATTTTCATTAATTTCACCCCCCTGAAATCTCTCCAAAACAGTGTTTTTTATGGATTTCTTTCTGAGTCAATTATGGAATTGCAGCTCTGTGAATTGCTTTTATGATATTCCTAGTCTCATCCATGGAAGTGTTACCTGCATTTCAAAGACCTATTTAGCACATTTTACGTAAAAACTTTTATTGTCTTAACTAAATAATGTTTATTTTGTAAATCTTCAGTGCATATATTCTCCTCTAATAACATTTATCTTAAATATCATATTATCATTATAGGTTAATTATCTCTTATCTGAAAGGCTTGGGACCAGAACTGTTTTACAGCTCAAAGTTCCAGATTTTGTAATGTTGGCATAGACTTTATTAATTGAGCACCTTTATACACATGTCCAAAACCTGAAATGCCCCAAAAGCTATAACTCAAGTGTTCAAACCATTGTGGATTTTGGACCATTTCAAACTTTTGGATTTTTCAGATTAAGGAGGGACACTCCATCTGTATTTATACATTTTTATATTATCCATCCTACTGGAATTTAAGTTTCCTAAATTGTCTGTAATATAGTATTTAACAGGCACATTGCATTATATAAAGACTATAACACAATATGAACCATAAACATACAGAGTTTAACAGTTATGGATTTTAAATTGAGATATTTGCTATACTTTTGTCCCTTGTTTTTGCTTTAAGAATTAAATCAGTGTTTTTCTTATGTAAAACAAATGAACAGAGCAAATATCTTTGACTCCATGAATGTGGATCACATAGCAATAAGAATACTGGGAAAATGACACTAGAGCAGTGAGTCTATCTGGCTGAAAGGACCTACTGCAGTTATTTATGGAATACCATTAATTTCAAAGTAAGTGATATTTAGAACGAATTGATGCCATGTGGTATCATGTATATAGGTTCACTAGTAAAACAAAAAATTTAAATTTATATTTTACAAAGCAATTATACCATACTAAAGACTGGGGTAATTTAATCAAAACTAATTGAAATACTGATCAAAACCAATAAAGTAATAACTAAATCTCAAAATTGAATACGATGACATTTCAATAATACAGACAAAATGATTCATCAGGATGGTGCGCAAAGTGTTTTGGATTTTGGAGCGACTGGATTTTGGATTTTTTCATTAGAGGTGCTCAACTGGAAAGTCTACACAAAGATTCCAAAATCTGAAACGTTTCTAATCCTAAACCTACCAGACAAGAGACAGTTAACCTGTACTGAAGAACGCTCCTCTAGAATTTGGTGTGAAAAATTTGAAAAGAAACCTAAAGTATCCTGATCACCTTTATCAAGCCAAATCCTAACCTTAAACACTGTTATCCTTAATCCAGCCTCTACGCCAAATTCCAACCGATATGGAAACAAACCATTTTCTTTTGATATTATTATAAGCAAAACTGGAACAGATGCTTAATTTTTTTAAGATGCTTAATTTTTAGTGACATTAGAGAGGAATAATGGGTGAAAGTTATGGCATATTTGACAAGCAAAAAATAAAGATCATACAGAGACGGTGCTCAAATTCTTTCCTGACATAATTTAATCATTACACTACTACAACAAAGACACTGAGGATCAACGAGGTTAACAAATTTTTCCTAAATTCACACTAGCTACTAAGGTACTAACTGGCAAGACCAAGGTACAAACCAAAGTGGATTTGGCCACTGATGCGTTTTTCTCAACACTGGTGCTGCCTTTTAGGTCTATATTAGAAAAAATGACGTGTAAAAGTGCTTACTCTGTTCCTTGAATTGTTTATTACTACTGACTCCACTTTGGGCATTGAACTGATTCAGAAATTCTTTCCTCTCCTTAAACTGATCTCTCTAACCTGTAAACTCTTCATCTTATCTTGGCATTCCATGATACTTTACCTTAGAATGTTGTTAAATATATTTACATACTACTTCTTTAAAACGTGTGAAGGTTTCCAACAGGTAAAACGCCTTTATCCTTCCAATACTGTTAGAACAAGCAACAATGTGACCTGGCAGCATTTACAGAAAAAGAAGAGTAAGGCATGGAAAACTACTCACTTGGGGACAAGTTGGTCAACCATTCAACTGATTCAGTTTAACCAGTTAATTGGCTACGGCTGAGTTTACTGCAATTAAGCACTGGGTTAGTCTACTGAGTTCAGTTTAGAACCCTCCTCCAAATCTGTGCTGTCCTACAAAGTTTATTTAATACCCTTCAACAGTATCCTGCGCTGACCATGTGTTTGATGTACGATTGCTCTGCGCAGTCCTCTGACCTTAAGAGGGCCATACAGCAGGTAGTCAATACATTCTTTGATGTGGAATAAAGATGGGGCTATACGTCTTTTCTGTCAAAATTTATCAATTCAATCTCAATTATTTTAAATGACTCCTTACCTCTGTTTACCTACTGAATTTTAACTACAACTGTATTAGGAGGCAGAAAAATGTCTAACCTAAGCAAACTGGTAGTTGGTTAGCTAACGTCTGTGTTCTGCAATATTACAAAGTTTTATTTCTTCGTTTATTATAAGCATTGTTTTATATACTAGCTTTTACAGCCAGGCTATATTAGCCAATATAAGATGAAGTGCTTTAGCTTATCCCTCTAGAAGGGCTACTCTGTTAGACTTATATTTAAGGATTCACGTAGAAAGACCATCCCAGACCTGCACGAACAAGCCAGAACAAGCTACACCTTCAGCTGATTGATTCACCAGCTGAAACAATAAATCACGGTCTCATTAAGGAATAAGCATCAGCCGGGACTCACCGGACTCCGAAAAACGCCACTCTGAACAGTTGCTTTTTTGCATTGTACTCCAGGGGAAGGGAGGCGAGGCCCCGTCCTGCGGCTGGGCACCTGTTTCCAGGACCCCCTCAGCGCACTCGCGTCTCCCCGGGGAGAGCCCCCCCACCCCATCCCCCGGCTCGGAGGCGACACGGAAACAGCCGAAGGCAAAGGCGACCTGCGCCCGCCCGCGCCGCCGCCGCCCGCGTAGCTCCTGCGCTCCCCGAGTCCGCAGGTGGCCGCACCTGTAAATCCCGCGCGCTCGGGGGCCCCGGCCTGGAAGACTTCCTCTCAGCTTCACCCCTTTCGGCGCCGCCGCCCTCCGCCATCTTCCGCCACCTTGCGGCGCCCACCGGGGGCGCGCTTCCCACGACTTCCGGGACTGGTTTCCTAGCAACAGCGGGAAGGGCGGGGTCTCGCCGTGAACCCCCACGGAGGAGGCGGAGCCCTCAAGGTGCATGCGCACTCTCACAGCGCCAGGCTGCGGGTGCATCTCTTGGTGGGTTCCCACCTGTCCTGGCAGGTTTTTCCTTAGAGGGGGTTGCGTGTCTGGAGTTCGCTCTCCTTCGCGCTTGAAGGCACTGTAGCTTGCCCTAGAGGGTTCGCTTGAAGCAACAATGAAAACGTCCTCTTGAGTGTTTTATCCCGTGCACATTGCAACCTCACCTTTCTAGACTGCTCATTTTTCTCGTCTTTCCCATGGAGGACTGGAAGGTACATGTCCTGCACAGCGTGAATTAGTATTGAGGGTAGCGAACATGGCACCTCTAACACTCTTTGCATTTAGAGCTGGCGCCTACTAAGCTCTCTTCACTAGACTGGGATTCGCTTAAAACTCCTGTCTTATCCTAGGCCTCACATGACCCAGGGTTGCAAAGGCAAAAAGAAATATCCCCAGTAGTAGGAAAACTTACAATCTAGTAGGGAGAAGAAAAATGTAAACAGATGACTTGCAATTTGTAGTACAGCTTTGGAGGAAGTGTTGTACAAGGAACAGGGTGCAGAGGGAAATGTTATGGTTGAAATCTAAAACGTACTGCAGAAATCGCCTACGTTTGGAAGGTGGTTGGATTCTGGGGGTGCAAAACTCATCAGTACACTTGGTCACTGATGAGGTCCGAAGCTGAATGTGCTGTGAAGATGTGGGATCTGGGTGGAGGTGGGGCACTGGGGAAGGGACTTCGAGGAGGTTTTCTTGCCCTAGGTTCCTCCCTTGTCTCCTTGCTTCCTGGTTGTCATGGCTTGAGGACTTTTTTCTCCGCTATGCACCCTGTTTCCGCCTTGGAGCCAGCCTACAGTGGAGTGAAACTGTGAGTCAAGATGCATTCAGCCAAAACCCGGTCATTTTAATTCCTTTTTCCTTTAACATCCCAGTTTATTGGGACTAAATTGTTTAACTTTCTCCTCCACAGTATTTCTTCAGGATGTCCTCTCTTTTTACGCTTACTTCAGTAATTTAGCTCAAGTTTTTATAATCTCCTGCATAGATTGTAACACGAGCTTCCCAATTAGGTCTCCGTGTGCTTCTGCATTGTTCTCCACATTGTTCTCTCCACTATTTTTCAAAAGCACAAAGGGGATCATGTATGTAGTTCCTCCGACTAAATCTCCACGGTCTACAGGATAAAGACCAGCTCTTTGAGGGCTGGGGATTCAGCTCAGCGGTGTAAGTGCCAGACTGGCAAGCGCTTGTTCATGAGTTTGCTCCCCTTCCAAAAAGAAAAAAAAAAAAAAGAGTGGGGTGGGATGAAAGAGGGCTGGAGGTTTAGCTCAACAGCACAAGTGACTGCTTGGCAAGGGCAGGTCTGGAGTTCCTTTAGCAGGTTGAACACACATTGATTTGAAAATGTCATGTCTTTTGCACTTCATTGTCATATCCTTTGCTTGGAACTTTCTTGTGTTCCTGATAACCTAATAAACACATTTCATCTTTCAGGATCATTAATTCAAATGTGACCCTATAAACCTTACCACCTTTCTGAGGCAGTTTGCCCATATTACTATAGAGCTTTGCATGCAATTTTTATTATGAGGAATTTTTAAAAGCGCATTATTACCTGATACCTCTAGATTATGAGATCCTCAAAGAGCAAGGCTTATGTTCTGTTTCCTGTCTCCAATGTTTGGCCTATTAAAGAAGCTTTATAATATTTCTTGAACAAATAACGCATGCACACACACATAATTACAATTTGGTGTCCTTATTTTCACCGTTTAGTATATTTTGGTTTAAATTTTATTTATAAATTTCTTATTTTCTCAATTCCATTGGTTTACTTCCAGTTTATTTTTTATTTATTTTGAGAAAAGCAAAACAGGAAACAGGGTAGAATAATACAGAATTTCAAAAAAATTGTAAGAAATCACTAGTTGATAAATTACATATTGTTATCTTAGAAGTAGTCATTCAAGTTATAAAATCAAAGCATAAAAAATGGACAATGAGCACAAACTATTCTATTTGAACTAATAGGAAATTAGTAGTGTTTATCTATCTTGCACACTTAAACATACATACAGTTAGTTATATGTGTATACCTACAAGTTGCTCTTTCCTTTTGAGCGCTTTCTCTCTCATTATACAATATCTGTTATACATTTTGGATCTTCTTATTCTTTCATTTTATTATTTATTTTTTATACTAGACAGATTATATGATATTTACAAATATGAGTCTGATTTATTTCACTAGTGAGGACAAGTTGACTCCATTTAACTATAAAAGCCTCAAGATCATCCTTTTTTATAGCTGAATAATATCCCATTGCATAAAATACCACATTTTTCATACATTATACAGTTTACTTCCAATTTAAAAATGCATATGATATAAAAATATACAGGATATAGGTTGTATTAGCATACTTAAATTCCAGTGAAAAGTACAGTGATATAATCACTAATTGAGGTGTCTCCACAGGAATGGGTTCCTCCAGGTTGGATGAAATTACTCTTCCCACTGCCTCCTGGGTAAAAAGGACCCATATTCAGTTAGCTTTCTGGCTGCAAGGCAACGACACTGTAGTGGAATGAGATGGCAGAGGAAAGCTGCTCAGTTCATGGCCACCAGGAGCCAGAGCCGTAGAAGAGTGCCAGAGTGCCAGTCTTCAGTGACAACTGCAGTAGTGTGAAGATGACATTTTAAGAGGACATCAGAAAATAGAAAAGCAACCCCGTCCTGGATAGGCAGAACCAACGTTGTCAAAATGGCCATTCTCCCAAAGCTGACATATAGACTTAATGCAGTCTCGATCAGAATACCAACACCATGCCTCACTGAGTAAGTGAAAACAATCTTAAAGTTCACGTGGAGCCAGGAAAGACCCAGTGGAGCAAAGGCAATCCTGGGCAGCGAAGCAAAGCAGGAGACACCACAATCCCAGAGTTCAAATTCTATTACATAGCGATAATCATAAGAGCAGGAAAATACCAGCACAAAAGCAGACCTGTAGAAGAGGGGAACAGAAAAAAATCCCAAGAACACTCAGCCACCCAATCTTTGACAAAAAGGCCGAAAGCCTTCCCTGGAAGAAAGAGAATCTCTTATAACAAATGGAGCTGGAAAACTTTTTCTTCATCATGTACTAAACTAAAATAATGGCCTGAAGATCTAAGTATTACAACAGAAGCACTTAATCTACTGGAAGATAAAATAGGTAAAACTCTTGAAGACATAGGAGTAGGCAAGTGCGTTCTGAACAGTACCTTAATAGTAGAAGAAATAACATCAAGAATCAACACACAAGATTCATTAACATAAAAAACTTCTGCACAGCAAAGGAAACAACCAACAAAGTGAGGAGACAGCCTATAAATTGGGACATTTTTTTGGCAAGTATTCTTCGAAAAGAGGACTAATATCTTGAATATATGAAGAATTAAGATAACAAAACCCCAGAATAAAAGGCCTAATCAAAAAAATGGACAAATGAAGTGAATAGACATTTTCAGAAGTACAAATGACCCATAAATACATGACAAATTGTTCAGCATTTCCAGCCATTAGAGACACGTAAATTAAAACAAGACTGAGATTCCATCCTAGTCCAAAAGAAAGGCTGTCATCAAGAAATCAAATACGACAAATCCTATGGTGGGGAAAAGGTACCCATCTACATTGTTGATGGGCACATAAACTAGTGGAAATTAGTATAGAGATTAACAACTAAAAACAGAAATCCCCTGCTTTAGCTATTCTCCTTCTAGATATCTTCCCAAACGAGTTAAAATCACCAGATTACAGTGATCCATGCTTCACCGTGTTTATAGCAGCAAACTGGTAATACCTAAATCTGGGAAGCAAAATATATGTCCATCAACAAATAAGGGGTGCAGAAAATGTGCTTATATACATCTGTGACACATTTGCACTCCACTAGTATAAATAAGGATAAATTTGTATGAAAATGATACATTTCAAGACATTTTTTTTTTTTTTTTTTGTCTTTTTGAGACAGGGTCTCGCTATGCAATTCAGGCTGGTGCTGCACTGATCCTTCTGCCTCAGCCTCCCGAGTGCTGGGATTCTGGGCCTGCGCCATCAAAACAATAATAGTAAGTGAATAAATCAGACACATATGCTTAAATATCAGGTGGTTTCTCTTAGATGACAAAACCAAAGCATAAACAAATTAAAGAACAAAATAAAAGATAGATGAAAAGAGACAAGGATGTAGATCTTTTACAAATGGCAAGGGGACCAAGAGATGGGTTAGTGGAGAGGAAGAGGAGGGAAGGGGGATTTAAAAACAATTGAGATGAATTCCGCACCTGTGCAGAGTCCTCATGATGAGTGGAATTGTCATGTACTGCGCACATGTACTGACATAAAGCTTAAAAGTTAGAAAATGGTCAGTATAACTTCTTCAAATCTTTGTCCGCCCCCTCCACTCGGTCTTTCTTGGCCCACGTGTCAGGCTTTTTCTGTTGTTTCAGTTTTAGATTGGACACTTTCTAGTGGCCTAACTCAAGTTCTTGAATGCTGTCTTTTGAATCATCAATTCATTATTAATCACATTCAGTCAATTTTAGTATCAGATAACTTCATTTTTCAGTTCTAAATTGTATTTACTTGTATAATTTTCCTATCTCTCTTTGGTATTATTACCTCTTCACCCATTAAATATCTTTTTTTCCTTTTGGATCCTTAAGCATATTTTTAAATTTTAAAAACAAAAAAGACAAAAATGGCAATACAGAATTTCAAAAGAAAATAATAGATTAACACTGTTAATATATTGCATATTGTTATCTTCAAAGTAACTCAGGTTATAAGATATAGGTATGAAAAATGACCATTTGAACATTGAAAGCACAAACTGTTCTTTTTGATGAACTAACAGATTAGTAATAGTTATCTATCTTGTGTGTGTGTGTATATATATATATATATTTATGAATA